CCTTAGCAAGGCTAGAATACCTAGTCAGTGGAGGGAGAGGTGTGCTTATGTGTCTGTGAGTGTGTGTGTTTGAGTGTGTTTGTGTGCACTGCATTTGACATTAGTTGGGAGGAGTTGGAGAGTCGACAGCTTGGTGTGAAGTGTCAGCTGTGCTGGCCTGATTGTTGCCAAGCAGACGAGCAAATCGACAATGAAATGATGTGTTGGCACGTTGCGGTAGCTCGAGCTGTTGTTGACAAGATTGGGATTATCATATCGTACTTGTATATAACAGTACTCGTCCGTATACATTTCAATGCAGCTCGACATGTGCCGGTAATTGAAAAGAGGCCATAATTCTGTTGCCATCGTCAAGGAAATGAAATCATGTGTACAACCATTTTTGTTTTTACTCAGCTTCTATTATTCTTATAATACAAAGACAGTTGTGTTTTTGGTCTGGGAAGTCCACGTAAGAAAACTCTCCTCAAGAATTCCTTTTCAACCTCTTTAAATTCAGGAGGCTACCATGGCTACTGCATATATGTTTTATTATGGAATTGATGGGTTGGAAATTAATATGCGCACGGGGCATGACCTTGTTTTGATTCACATGGTTACAATTAACATGGCTTGATTGGCTTGGGTTAGCAACAATTTCGTTCCTCTAACTTGGTTTTGGTCTAATTGTCTGGCTATAATGGACAGATATTTCGGACGTATCATCATGCGACTGGTTTTTAATAAAAATAATAAAATTCTATATTAAATACAATGCTATTTTAAATACAAGTAATAGCATTTTATGTCAATCAAATTATAATTAGGTCCAAAAAATTCTCATATTCATATGCAGAACAGATTTATTATTAGCCTCATTATTTCAAATAACTGCCATAATACGTTGGCAGGAAATATCACTCTAATGTAATTAAAGATATTTGAACTTAATTAGGTAAATAAAACTTCATCCTTCAACTTTAATTAATATTATTAGATGGTAGTAGTAGTAGTAGTAGTAGTAGATGAAAAAGTCGCTCCCAACAACTATTCGTCTTTCAATTTTGCAACCAATCTTTTATTAAGGAGCATTGTATGATGCCAGCAAATAGTTTTTTCCAGTTGAAGTGCAGCTTGAAAACATTATCTTGCCAATTAAGAAACCTCAATGTAGTTGATGTGAACGACTCAAGTCAATTATCCTGCTGCACACCTTTTGGTTTTGTGGGCATTGCGTTCGTCTGCCTCATTAATTATAATTTCAGGCAATTAGGTGTTGCCTTTAATTACACTTCTTGCTGTTTGGCCCACATCTCGCCAATTGTGGGGCAAAATCAAAAACAGAGGCCGAACTTTGCGCGGTGTTTTCGATTTTGCCGACAAAGTGCAAAATACTCTGCCTACTTCGCATGTGGCTGTGTTCTGAAGTGCCTTCGCCACTCCCTGCCATTTCTGATTGCCATGGATTTGTAGTTGTTCGTGGTTCTTGTTGTTGTTGCTTTGTACTGGCCACTCATTTTTTGTTCGTTCGTTTGTTTGTTTGTTTGTTTTTGGATTTTGCGAACGCCCTTATTGCTCGCTTTAATCGCGCATGAAAAACTTGCCCAACTGCTGACTGGCATTTATGTGTTTTTATGTGGAATTCGTTCTTTTTTTATGGATTTATGATTTCCATTTGCTGCTGTCAGACCTTGCGCAAATAAATGGCCCATCATTCCGGGAGTAGTCAGTAAAACTTTACGTATTTATAAATAAATATATATATTTTTTTGCACGCTTGGTGATTTGGAATGTCAGGTGGTTTTTATACCCTGTACCCAAAGGGTACAAGGGTATATTAGTTTTGTGCGAGTGCACATGGAACACACAGAAGGAGGCTTGGTAGACCCCACAAAGTATATATATTCTTGATCAGCATGACAAGCCGAGTCGATATAGCCATGTCCGTCTGTCCGTCTGTCCGTCTGTCCGTCTGTCTGTCTGTCTGTATGAACGCAAGGATCTCCGAAAGTATAAGAGCTAGAATAACCAAACTTGGTATACAGATTCTCCTGAGACCGAGAAAGGACGAGTTTGTTCATTTTTTCTGATCCACCCCCCCACTCCCCCCCTATTAACGATTTTCTATAACTCCCGTAATTCTTGGAATTTTGAACTAAAATTTGGTAGACACATCCAGTTAGTAATTGTATATCCGTATACCAAGTTTCATTATGATAGAATGATCGGAAAGAAAGTTATAGCCATATAACCAGGCCCAATGCACACATACATACATATGTACAAGTACACAAACACGCTTAAGGCACGATTCTGATGTAAATGTAAATGTATCTATGCATGCATGGAATATTTAGTTAATTAATTAAATTAATTTAGTTAATTAATTAAATTAATTTAGTTAATTAATTAAATTAATTAATTAAATTAATTAATTTAATTAAATTAATTAATTAATTTAATTAAATTAATTTAATTACTTTTTTGTGGGGTGGTACAGGGTATTTAAGAGTTGAGCCTGCTCGACTTTAGCATTCCTTTCTTGTTATATATGATTATCTGTTGACAGCCAGACTCATTAATTTGGAAGCTGTTAAGTAAGCTTTAATCTGCCAATTTAAGTTTCTCTATTTATTCTTTATCCATAATTTGTTGCCCAAAGTATTGGAGCGTCAACAGGCTTTATTGCATATGGAAAGAAATTCAGTGGTGTGGGAAACCCCTCTTGTCCTTCCTTACAGTCAACTACATAGTAACTGGTTTATTTATTACTGCTCTTGTCCTTCACTTCCGCGTATCCTTCATAAAAAGAAATATATTTTCTTGATAGCTGTTTCCCGTGAGTTCTCTATCAGCTTTAAATAAAAAAGGAGGCAGATAATGTATTTTTATTATTTATTAATAATTTCCTTTGAGGTTTTACCGTTTTATAGAAGCTATTTAATAGAATTTCTATAATCTGTGTGATCAGCTCTCTGGAGTCGTGTCTAACTTCCTATATCAGGGCTTCATTTTAGCTCCGCAGAAGTTATTTTTCTGTCCGAACTCTAACACTCCACCTTCTGTGATGTAAATTTGTGCCTTAAAATAAATAAATTACGCACTAATGCCTTTCATGTTTCTATATATTGCCACTTAAAAACTTACGGCTTAAAATGAAGAGAATATATCTCTTTCTCTGGTGGATGGGCAAAGTTTTTTGACTACAATTAACAATTATTTAACTGGTATATACCCGCATATTTAACTAACCTTAGTTTTCTTAGTTACCTACCAGTGGCTTTACCCATCGCTATATATATATATCTTGTCGAGTCTAAACACTATACACTATTCGCAAATTTGTTCCATGTTTATTCAACAATCACATGCTTCCCACGTATATTGAATTGCCTGTCCAATAAAGCGACGGCAACCTTTGACCTATCGGCCAAAATCTCCACATCATTAGCTACAAAATCAGTTCGCCTTATACTCTCTTTGCAATTAAATTTGGTCGCCATTCCACCGCAAACTTCTAGCTCTCTTGTTTGTAAAATGTGGCCAACAAAAGTCCCATTGTCGATGTACCTTTTAATTAACCAGCTCTTAATAATAAGTATAATTAAAACATTTGCCTGCCATGGCACACACACAGAAAAAAGCACCCCGACAGTGCAAGACAAAAAACCAGTAATATCTAAAAAAAAGTTGTGATTTTTATTCCCACGCCAACAAGAAAGGAAAAACAAAAGTTGCGCAAACATTTCTATAATTGTACATTTGAACATGAGAGCCATGGCTTCATTTTTGTTATTTTTTTAAAATGTGTCACGTTCTGCTGTTAATTACACAAATGCTGTGGCAGAGGACGAAGGAAGAGGAAAGATGTGACCCACGTGTGTGTCAGCGCGTGGTTGTGATTATTGCGTGCGGTCTGCATGGCTGCCAGAATGACTGCAAATTATGAACGTGCTCTAATTAATAGACACTCATGAAAATAGACACGAACACACACACACACGGGCAGTCATAATAAATGCACACACAATTTAAAGGCTACGAGCTTATTTGTTTGCACAATAAAGGTATGCCATATAATTCACGAAAATGTAAATAACAAGCAGCCGACTAGATTCAAATGACATTTGTTACAACCATGTCATTTATGTAATTTTGTACAAATATTTAAATGTGGTAGAATTTCAAGCGCGTTTAACAGTGCGTATGTGTAATATGAAATGGACATTCCATTAATTAATAATTGATATTGGCTTTGCAGAGTTCACATGCAGGTAATTAGATTGAAAATGTCAAAGGATGCTGTTGTTAGTTGATTAGAATTGATTAGCAGAAATTTGATGATGAGTCTGAATCGTTGGTTAAAGACAATACAGATGTGGTATGACACAAATGATTGAAATTTGGCTTATGCTGGTGTATAATTGTTAGAAGCATGCTAGCCTGATAAATACAATTAAAATTTTCGTATTACCAAGCTGAGCTGCATTTAGTTGCTCGTTGCCTTAAGATTGTCTACAAAAGTGATAATATATATTATTATTTTTCTATATTTGCGGAAATATCAAGAGAGAAACAAGGAAATAAGCAATTCCATTTTTCTTTTATTTTTTTTAAATATACAAAACATAAATGAAACAGCTACTGATATAGTCTTCATCGATTAAAGTCATGATCTTGAGGAACTGTTTTGAAAGCATTTAAAAACTAAAATTAAAACGATCAAAATATCTTACCATAATAATCCTATGCTAAAGTTTGTAGCCTTTGTGAGAGAAGCAACTTTCCTAAATTGCAGGGCGTCTGTAGATAAGTAATTTTTTAAAAGCTTATAAAAGCATTTTTATCTTCTACGCCAAATGCCAACTTTGTCATAATCAAGAACAAGAATTAAAAAATATTTAAATGAATGTGCATGCATATAACATTTTTCGCTTAGCCATTTGCCTACAGCGCTGAATGGAAGTGATTGTGAACATTAATCCCGAACGGATTATTTCGTTCTTCCTTTGTCTCTTTAGAGTTGCGGCAGAAGAGTCCTATTAGCATCATGAGTCTGCAAGGAACATGGAATGCACTGCCTAAGGCAGCAGATTATGAAGGAAAGATGGCAGGAACTGCTGCAGTTGATGGCAAGCGACAGCGACTGGAACCAGCAGCATTGGCGATGAAAGCAAAAGTACGGCATCAACGAAAGCAACTTAAACAACAACAACAACAACGACACAAACAGCGAAAATTAATGCGGCTGGACACCAGCAAAGCAATAACAACAACAACAACAACAGCAACAACGACAAGCACGACACTCTGGACGTGGATAAACATATCAGCAGGTTATAGCCAGCACAATAATAATAATAACGGCGAGTATAATGACGATGATAATGACTGCGACCAACATAATCAAGGCACTAACAGCAACAACAACAACAATAATGAGACATTGCCGATGTTGTCTGGCTCAACAAATTATGGCATTTCCGGCTTCAAGCGGCGGCAGATTCTGAGCAACAACACCCACCAGGCGAAACAGCAACAAAAACAAGAGGCACGACAGCAACCCACCGGAGCTTTGCTGTGGCACGCCCTCCTAATGCTGGCCTGCTCATCAACAATGGCTCTGACCATGGCCAGGCCAACAAACGACACAATCCTCTTGGCCAACATAAGCAGCACAGACTTAGGGCTACTCTTCAACGATTCAACAACACCAGTCACAACTGTTGGGAGCCTACCACTGACTACAGCCCTGGCTGTGGCCTTGGGTGGCGCCGAAACTAAAGCTGCCACCATCGACGATTTGAGTGATGAAGAGGCCGAGAGTGCCAGCGAATATATTTTCGATCGCACCGATGTGCGCATTATATTCATAACTCTCTATACCATTGTCTTTTGCTGTTGCTTTTTTGGTGAGTATGTCTTTAACAAACGGAAAAGTTTTGTGTTGAAATATCTGAAAAAATACGAAAATAAATCTATTACACATTTAACTTATTTAACATAAATTTGATGGCAATGTAAATTTAATTTAATTTAATTAATTTTTCGCAAGTATTTGAGGATTTTTGTTATGATTAAAGTTTAAAAATGGTAAACAAATCAAATATAATTTCAGACTTCAGTAAATTTTAAATTTCATTTGTTTCCATTTATTTTAGTGCAGTTTTTGTTTTTAAATACTAAAATAAAATATAGTTTTCAATTCAAACAATCGAAATTCATTTTCGCATTGCTTCGAAGTGGGATCGTCTTTGGATCTCATTTTTTCTCTACATCCTTTTATTCAGATCCTAAAATATACCACTGATTGATCTAATGTAAATGAAATTTATTTAACTGATGGATCCAACTGTCGGTCCTTTTTTCTAATTTTTCGATTATTTCAAACAAAATTGTTATTACTTTTAATTCAATAATTTATTTTACTATATTTCTATATATAAAATTGACATTAATCTACACAATTACTTATTATATATATTATTTATTTTATTATAAATAAATATATAATTTAGTAAAGTTCAAAATCTGGTTACTTTATTTAATTCATTTTTGATTTATTTATTGTTTTAAATCATTTTAATTGCATACACGTTTTGTAATAATAACAATAATATTATATATATATTTTTGTGAGCACTTGCTCCTTTGTATAGTATAAATGAAGATGCAAGGTGAATGGAAGATGAGACAAGTAATTACTTGATAAATAAATCACACCATCCAGATCGACAAAAATTTTTTCCTTCCTGCACTTCTCAAACCACCCTCGCAATGTACATATATTTAAAGTCTACGCAATCGCTGGCAAATTTGCTGCAAAGGCTAACAACATGCCGTGTACTTTTGTTGCCTCGAACATGTTCATTCCCATTAGTCCTTTGGGTCGCTTCTATTCATGCTAGCTTATTGATACTTCATGTCCGATAAGCAAACAAAGGCCAAAAAGCCAAACATTGGCCAAAATGGAATAGCTGCAAAATAAAAGCAAAGTCGACCAAAGTAGGAGCGTCGTCCGTGCGTCTCCCTTTATTTTTATCTCACATACGTGCCGGCCAAGCGGAAATGGTTGCCCCCACACGAAAGTCCTTGGGCTCGCCTGTGCCTGTCTTAGTCTGTGCGTGTAAATGCACAAATGGCCTCTTTGTGGGGCCAATTTTTGCGGACTCAATTTTACGCTGACTTGCCAATTATATTCAATGCGTTTTAAGCAAGGGGCGATTGTAAGTTCTGAGTCAAAAGTTCAACGAGATTCGTCTGAATTTAAGAATTCTATCAAGATGCTATTTATGCCTAAAAATTCAGCATTTTCAAGCTGCTTCACAAAATGCGTAAATATTCTGTTCCATATCCATTTGCGAATATTTTTGGGAAGTAAAGCTGTTGGAAAGGTTTCTATTGGTATTAGGCGTTTAACTTAACGATATTAATCAAATCGTAACAAAGGACGATGCACTTTATTAAGCTATTGCTACATATTAAATGAATGACTTTTGTTTTATTGCCAAGATTAAAAGGCAAAAGCTTGATTGAGTCCCCTTCTCTTATAATAAGTGCTGGCTTTCTGATTGCCCGCTCAACTTTATAGCCTTGAACTTGTACGAAAATATTGCTCATACGCACCATATTTTGCTTAATAAAGCGATGAAATAATCGTTAAATGCAATATAATGGAGAAATGTCAATTAGTCATTTGTTAGGGCTTAATTTGCAGACACATAAATTTGAGATGCTGCCCCTTCTGCTCCATTCCACAGCTCCACGCTCCACATGTGGACGCCTTGCTTCCTTTTATCGCAAGACCCCACTGTATGCGGGCACGCTTGTAATTATAATGACATGCGAAATGGCATTTAATGCGCTGCAAAGAATCAATTATGTTTTGGGCATTTACAACAGACGCCGTCTTTGTCGTTGTCCTTGGCATTGAATGAGCAAAATATTAACCGCACTGACAGCAGCAACAACAACAACAACAGCAGAAACAATGAGCATGTCAGGCAAACATGTGTATTTGCTGTACAAAATGGCGACAAATGGCGCCCATTAGGCACAAACGACGCAACCGGAACGGGACTCGCACAGGCGGCAAAGCGTAGCATACAAATGGGCGGCATTGCAGTGCCACAGACAATTGCGAAATGTAAGCAACCTTATTTGCTTAAAAAGCACCCAAACACACAAAATATACAAATACAGCTACACTGAAAGAAAGATAATTGAGTTGGGCTTTAGTAAAGGAAGTACAAATCTTAATGAAAGAAAGAAAACAATTTTGATTTATTTGTCTTCAAGCTCAAACTCAAGCTAACTCCGATTATATACACTTTTAAATATATATTCAGTGCAATCGTTATAAAAGTTTTATTTTCGCTTTTTATGTTTAGCCGAAAAGTATATTTCCTTAAACGTTCAAGACAGTTTTTGATATGTGCAATCAAATAGAAGACAAGTTTTAAAACTTCATAGAAGAAAATTAATTATGAAGGCATAATAAAAGAGCTTTCAAGAGACGTATGCCGAGCTAGAAAACCTGGTCCAAGCAACTTATATGCTTCTAAAACCATAAACATAAAAGACGTCTGTAAAGCTATTTTATATAACAAATAGATTTAAATAGGGAAACTAACAAGTTTTACAAGACTTTCAAACAAGAATGTTTAAACAATATTTTCATATTGATGTCCAAAGTTTAGCTGTGAACAGAGTATTTATATTCTAATTTTATTGCTAATCGGCTTTCTGCATTCTACTATTTATTTGGGCGTCACTGAATATATGAGGATTGGTATATATGTATTTATTTACCCAGCCAGCTGAAGCATGTGTTTTTTCAAATTCGAAGCAAGACTTTTCATTTCATTTCATTTGAGCAACGTTTTTTCAATTGTAAAGTGCAATTTCTTCCAGTGTGAGCATACACTGCGCAGAGTCATAAAATTTGCATCCTGCAGTTACAATGTTGTCGCTCTTGTTGGTGTTGGCGTTGCAGTTGTAGTGTTGCTGTCGTTGTGTGACAAGCAATTTTATTGCCTTTTTGCTGCCTGTATTAGTGAGGAACGTTCGTCCGGGTGCGCGTGTGTGTGTATGTGTGTTGTGTTCATAAGCTTGTATGGCACTAATTGCTGCACCCCTGAGCCTGCCCCAACTGTAATTACAATTGCACGCTCCACTCCAATCATTCGCACAGCGTTGGCCAACAAAATGCTTTCGTTGCGACTTTTAATTTTATTGCATCTGGTGGAAGTGCGCGTAAAACAGTTAAAAGAGTAAACAATTAAAGCTCACGCCTGCCTGCCGTGCTGACAGATGCGAGCCAGCGGGCAGGCAGGGATCAAGTTATTATGCCATTAACGGTGCGGATGGCATGTGAATCGCATCACAAAATTAGATCCTGTTCGCTTTGGCACTAGTGTGCAAGTTGTTACTGGTGAACAAATACAAACAATTTAATTTCTTTGGGTGCGTAGGGTATTCATGAATAGCATTCAAAATGAAATAAAATGTAAGTGTATTAATGTCGTGATGAAATTGTTTAACCATTTCCTCTTTTAATTAAGCAAAAGTATATTTGTATCTTCTATATTCGATATAAGCCAAATATGCTAATTTTGTACAAACAATTGCAATTACAATTTCCAGTTGACTAGAATGAAATTTGATAGATTCGTTTCACAGAGAAGGGGTTTCAAGCAGCATTGTTCAATCACGACTTTGAGATAGCGGAAGTGGAGAACGGTGTCGTAAAAAAAATAATTACTGTAAAGTCAACCTTCGTGTTTTACTCATTCATATATTCATTGTTTAAGGCTTTACTTTCTACTGATAGAAGTGTCTAGTCGCTTCTAATGGGACATACAGTAGATTAATTGTGGTTTCGCAGCATCTCTACCCATGTCAGCAAGCACTAACTGATTCAATAGCCGCTAAAATATTGGATCTAGGGTGATCAGAACCATATCAGCATTTAGAAAATCAACATAATACTTTTATATTATTCAGATACTGATTCATGGCTAATATTTAATATGATTAATAGCTATGTATCTTTATTGATAATATACATTGTAGTATTGTAGTTATAATACTAAAACAGGGAACAATCGTTGCAGCTGATTTTTACTTTATTTTGAATTATGTACTGATTTTTTCCAAACTGGCAATTTAATTGCAACAAAAACCTATGCCAAACATTTTCCTTAGGTGTGCAGATTGTAGAGGCTACAATTTTGGTTTTCTTTAAATGAAGCTCATTTCCACGCTTTGGTGTCATAGGCATAAATAGGCGACAAAATGTAAAGAAACAAAAAAAAAAAAAAAAAAAATAGTAAATATCCACAATTGATGAATATGTGGCAGTTGCCAGACATCTGTTGCCATGATGATTAATTTGCATTTTATATTAGTTTCATTTGCTTAACTAAATTTTCTAATAATTGGTTTTATAAATACTTCAGTCTTAAGTAGTCAATTGATAGGCCTACACGCGCCACTCCTTCATAATTTCCCTGCCGTGCCACTCCAAATCTATGGCAACACACATTTCCCAGTAAAGGTAAATATTTCATTTGAGCGTCATTCGTGGCTTTTTGAAGCACGTGGCGTGTGGGTGTGGAATGCCACTTCCACATGCCCTATTGCAAAATTTGTGGTAGTGGTTAGGCACAGGTGCCATTTGATTGTAAATTTAAGCTGCCAATTTATGAATTGAAATTAACTTTATCAAAAGTTAATGAAGGCAAATGTTTCATTATTTCAAGGAATATTTAGTGGTATTTGCATTTTGAGAATGTGAATACATTTGCACAATTAGTTTACTGTTTACAATAGCCACTAAATATATTCTATCCTAAGCTTCTTGTTTTAATCTAATAATGTCAGCTGGTCGTCAAGAAGCTGCCAAAGATCAATAAAGCAAATAAATTACAAATTAAAAAAGCCATCATATCGTTTAAGTCGTACTTATACTTATAACAAACGACATATTTATTAAGGCATTATATATTATATTTCAACACATCATTCACTCTGAGTATATGTTCATTTCATGCGTCAATAAGCTTTAGCTTTGCATAAATCTCATTATTCAGTTCACATAATAGCAGCAGCGAACAACAACGAAATTGGTCATGCAAAATAAATTATTTGAGCTTATAAGTATTTCCGTTCCACTTCCCCAACTCTATCAGAGTCTCACTTACATAGTCGCATATGCTTTTCCCTTTTTTATGTTGGGATTGCGGCCGGCCGCACTAAATAAATTGTAATTCAGATTTATTGCATAATTCCGACATTGTGCGCCCATTTAAATGGATAATATTTTAAATTAATTAAAATGCAGCAACGCGCTCATAAATATATGCAAATGCCATTCCAAAAAGTAGGCAATACATTACATATTTAATTGCCAGCAAAAGGCAACAAAAACCTCTCCGCAAAAAGGCCAAAATGTACTTAGAGTTATCTGGGTTTGTGAATCATGTTCGCTGCCGAACGACAGTCGCAAGTCGTGTGCTGAACTTTTTTAATTACTTTAAACAGCCATTGAAGCACACACATATATACATACGTATATAAAAATAACCTCCTTCTTTTTTAAAGTCGGTTAAAAAAGGAAATATGGTGGCAGTGTGGACCAATTTAAAGTAAACTATGACAAATTATAGAGGCGAGGCAGTAAGGCAGTGAAATTAAAATAAAGTCGGGTGCTATTGCATGTGTTGTCAAACTTTTATGGCAGTACAAATTTTGTCTATTAGCGTTTTAGTCAAATGGGTTCCAAAAATGAACATTTATTCAGAAACCATGTGATAATAAAAATACAACTTTTTGTACATTTTAATTTTTGTGCAAAGAACGGTGCAACAAAAATTATTTCTGTGCTTCATTCATCCATTCATTTCTTTTACACTTTCTTTCACTACTATTGGTATGGATTTATTTATATTCTTTGTAACTTGTAACTAATGAATAACTGGTTGTAACTTATTACTGCGACAAATTTAATTGAATTTAAGTCTTAGGGGATTTTACTTCATTTTTCTAATTAAATACTTATCTATTAATATTTTATGTTCTCAAATCTCCTATTGCCCCTCATTTAAAAATTCGTTGACGCCTCAAATTACACGCAGAGTACGTGCTCCTATGATGAACCTAAAGCTCTCTAAATATTTATTATTATGTGCTAAGGGCCTGCAGCCTTTACTGCCTTTGACGCTATTTAAAAGCTTTCATTAAATTAAAAACGACAGAGGAACAACAAGCTAATCAGGCATACACTAAACAAATTTAGAAAGCATTTTACTAAAAACACAAGCGCCTAATTAAAATAAACTTTCTGCAGCGAAAGCGGCGTAATGTTAAAACGATTGCTAGATTGGGATGGGTAGATATAAAAAAAAGGTAGGGGGAAAACTAAAACGACGCTGCTTAAAATGTTCATGGATAATTTACAGTGTGTGCAAAAAGTTATTGCTCCCCGAGCGCCTTTTGTGTGACAGGCTGACAAAGTTTTGTGCCTACGTTGTAGTTTGGCTGTGGTTGATGGGTGGGCGGAGGATGTAGGGGCAGGGAAGGCAGCCACAGATCCGTTCACAGAATAGACAAAATTCCAGACTACATTGGTGTGTGTGTGTTTGCCTGTCTGTCCGTTTGCTTGTCACTTATACAAATATTTTGTTAACATTTTTAATATCTCCCAGATGAATTTTGTTGCGTTCCTTTTGCGGGCCACGCTGCGGCTGACTTGCATTTGTGCTGTCCCCCAGACGGTTTTTTTAAATTAAATAAACTTTCTGGTTGCCTCAGCTCCATTTTCTGGAAAACCACACTGCAAAAAACTTGCGTCTACTCCTTGAAAATATTTTATTAATTTTATTTTGTAAAATGAAAAGGAATTAAACTTTGGGATCAAAATTCTTAGTGAAACATGAATATTTTGCTTATTGCATTCATTATAAAGTGTAAGCGTTAGTTTTCATATTCGATTAAATTATCATTTATATATTATCATAGTTTATTTAAGTTACATACTGAAATGTGTTGCACTGCTTGTAATGTATTATTAGGAAGTATTTGATTTCAAAATTAAATTGCATATCGTATTAAAATATATTTATTTTCCTTTCTGTACTTAAAGAATTTGTTTAATTTAGTCTTATTCAACATTTAATGCTCTGTCTCTTTCCTTTGTTTCTGTTGTTTGCAGGCAATTTACTTGTGATATTGGTTGTCACGCTGTCGCGTCGCCTGCGCTCCATTACGAACTTCTTTTTGGCCAATTTGGCATTCGCCGATTTTTGTGTGGGCTTATTTTGCGTCATGCAGAACTTGTCAATTTATCTCATAGACAGGTAAGTGAACAGCACACTGTTTGGCACGGGGCGTATGCGCAATGCTTAATTAACATGCATTATGCATACGACCTGTGTACGCTTCTCAGTGTTGAATTTTTTAAAGCAAACGCAAAGAGAAAGGGCAACAGCACATCTGACAGCATTCAACTCATACGCAACAATGACAGACATAAAACAATTTGCATTTTTTCATTATTCAAACAACGCCACCAGCTACCGGAGGTGCTCCCGACAATGTCGAGGCAGCAGTTAAAGTTGTTGCTCTGACTTTTCCGAGGCGTTTCTGTGAAAGTGCGCAAGGGTATGGAGCTGAGGTGGTAGCCGGAAAAAAAAGCACAACGAAAACACAAGTGCCACTATCTGCATATATAACATAAGAACACACATGTGTGTGCATTAAAATATGTGTGCATATGTAGTGTTTATTCGCGTTGCATTTCATTGTTGTCAGAGAAACGTGTTTTAAATTCATTCTTCGTAAAAAGTCATGTTGCATTTCTCCAAATTTTGCGACGAAATTTGTTGAGGAAGCTTCTAGGAAAGCAAGTCAAAATTCAATTATACACATATTGCTGTAGAATACAGCTTTTCTAAGCAATACAAATTTGTGCTGCTCCTTTTGGAAGACCTAAAATTGTGAAATTCCAGGAAGCTATTCATTGTTTTTCTTTAAGTCTTGCTTTGAAAATCTGAACTCAATTAAAAGCTCTTAAGCACTTTTTTTAGGTAAAAATTAAAATTAAATTATTTGACTTACTTTTTCCAATTAATTTAATGTTCTAGGATTAAGTATTGCCATTTATATTATATTGAACATTTTTGAGCTTTGATCGAATTCAGGAATTCCTTTGCTGGTCGAAGTGTTTAAAACGCTTGACAAATTAAATAAATATGCCTATGCTGGCAAATGTTACACTCAACTGTATTTAAAGTCTGTCACTGCATTGTGGTGTTAAATTGCAAATTTTTATTTTTTTTGCTACCCGGGACTTGCAATTAAAACAACTGACAAGTACGTTAAAGTAGTGACTATCAAAACAGCCAACACCAACACCAACACGAGCAACAACACAAAAACATGTTGTGCAAGTGACAAAAACAGGCGACAAATTCCACACCAATGCCAGAGTACGAGCATAACCAGGCAGCCAACTGCCATGGCTGAGTTGGAGAGAAAGCGGATTTCGAAATTGGTAGCATATTTGTCCAAATCGATTTCGTTCGGCTGAAAAGCATTTTGATTCTTTCAAATAACTGCGTTCCTTTTGGAACTCCATTTAAATGAAGAATAGCATATTTTTAAAATCAAATTTTAGAAGATATAAGTATGTATCAAAGGAAACTCTATCCCAATCTAATTTAAAGTATGCAAATAATTTGAATTCATAGGACTCCATTAATTATTTTAAATGCATTTTTTGCATTTTGAAAGAAGTAAATTAAATTTAAGTCCTCTAAGTCTGCTATTTTTGAATTCGGATGTGCATGCTCCTATGTATATCAGAGAATAATAAAAACAAACCTCTAATAAAATGAACTATCTTAAATTAAGGTATTAAAACATACATTTATAATATGTTCAAATGTAAATTGAGTTGTGTGTTGTGCTTTTCAGTAATTGCAGTATATCAGGGTTGTCCGAACTTTTGTAAGCCAGAAGCAATTCAAATAAAGACCGAATCCACTCAAATGCAAAACCGCAATTTTTTCAAGCTATAAATCGCAAATTTTAGTCTGTCCGTGCATATGTAAATTATTGTGCCATTTAGCATTCTTTTTTTTGGTTTTCCAGTTTTTTTGTTGTTATGTGTACGTAGATATTGTATGCCATGCCGATTTTCACTTGCAAATATGCGAGAAAACATGAAATTTTCCATGAACGAGTTTCTTTCACATATGTATTTTATTTGCCCAGCATTTAAAAAAGAACACGCGTTTAATGCAAAAACTACACGTTTTTTTCTGTAAATTGAAATTACGCCATAAACTCAAATCTTTTTACGTGAGTTCATTTGAAATGTTGTTCAGAGTACATTCTTGTGAATGAGCTCATTATAAAGGCACAAGTTGTTAATCTTATTGTAAATGGTATTTTAGTTAGGAAATCAATATTTTTCGAATGCCAACTGATTCTTTTTAAACTTAAATTGCAATGAAAAATAATGTGGAAATATTAATTGTTATTCTTATTTTTACCAGTTATCTATTTACATACTTTTTATACATTTTGACATTTGTTACTACTGATATTCATGTGTATTTTTATGATTATACCATAACTTTTGCAGAAAAATGCTTACTAAATCCATTACTTTAAGCTTTAAATACTTGATTACTTGATTATCTTCCTTTTTATCTCAATTCTTGAATAGGCAAAATAAATAAAACGCGTGAACATTTTATCTTTGATTAAACTTTCTCAATCTATTAACTTTCGACTTTATTATCATGTGTTTATTAAAAGCCATTCACATTTTCATATCTAGACAATCAACTGTCTTAGTTTTATCGCTACATCATTACACAATTCTGATCAACAAACTTATGACCTCACAAGTAATACTTGTATCTTAACACATTTATTGCTGCTTACTTATTATCGTTGCGGTATCATCTCGTATAATTCGATTGGAATTTATCATTAGACTTGATTCGTAACGCATGTTTTACAATAAATTTATTATCGAAAATTGTGTTTGGCACACGGAAAATGGCATAACTGTGTTGAACACGTAATTCAAAATTGAAAAATTAAATTCCGTTTTCATTCCACAAAACGATGTTCATTTCAAACCTCGCCACATAATACAAAAATGTGTAAATAGCTGTAAGTGTGTGTGTGTGTGTGTGTGTGTGTGTGTGCATGCCTTGATTCTGTTTGTGCGTGGCTCGCATATTTCTGAGATTTTAATACTCTCATTTGCATTTTTATTTTGATTGCTTGTTTATTTACACTCGTATATGGCATATACTCATTTGTTCGCTTCCATTCAATTTTCGATTATTTTCATTTATGAAAATTCTATGTGGTCCTTTTCTTTCCACTTATTTATAATTGTAAATTGTTTTGTTTTTGCTAAATAGCGTTAAAAGCAAAATCATAGAATATTTTCATATTGAAATTTTACGATATTTATTTAGTTGCTAAAGTTTGCATTTTGCGGTCCATTAAAATGTTCTTAAAAATGCATAAACTAATAATATTGTCTAGACTATTGAATAGTGCACAATGCTTGAGTGTGTTATACACATATTTTGAAATTCGAATAGAACATTAAAAAGACTAATAAATCTGCTCTTAATGAGGTATTAAAAGCAAATCAATTCAAACAAAAGGGCCATATTTTTTTTCCTATCATCAATTGAAGTCTAGCTCGTGACCCCAATTTATTTATCTGCTGGGTTTTTTTTATGTGGTGGCCTTAAGCTGTCCTGCTGTCCCATTCAATTTCCTTTGCATTTGTTATTTAATTTATGTTGTTTTATTTTCAAACATTAATAAGCAAGAAACACCTACCAATATATAAAAATAAATTTTGGTTAAGAAACATATCTAAATAAATATCACACACAAGTCTATATAAGATTGATCTGACTAGCTGGCAGCCGGTGCTTGAGTAGCTGGACTTTATAGGGGATTTAAAGCACAACAATTGCGATTGACGGTTTGGAGGAATGTTGATTGGCAAAAAGAGAGTGTAGAGCACAGCACACGTACACACTTGACATTCCCGGCTTTAACGCTTCGTTCATGCTCATAAAACTGAACAATGGCAGGCCTTTCAATTGCTGCTAATTTTGGCATCGTCGACATTAAATATGCAGGTGGCAGCAGCATAACAATAATTTTTAATAATGCCACAAAAAATGCGGCCCATACCCATTTTTTACACACGCATACAAAAGTAAACGTGTGCCTGTAAAACCTGAAAAAGGAAAGGCAGAAGTACGTGCTAATCCTTGATATGAAACAAGGGAGTGCGTAAAGCAGCCGTAATCTAAGCTGAAAGCATAATGCAATAGTAATAATAAAAGCTTTGCCGAACATAAAATACTAATGACACCCGAATGTCGCATTAGAAGTGGGCGTGTCACAATTTTAATGGCACCGGCCTTCAAGCGGCCTGGGAAATAAGAAAAATGTGTGCAGACGGGGCGTATGTGTAATATTTTGTGCAGCATTCTCAAACTTGTGCACAATTGAGAAAAGTTTGTCCTTTCAAACCTGAAAACTTTGCATGTAAACTCTTATTAATTTCATTAACTTGACGCCTCTTTGCAGCTGGGTGTTTGGCGAGTTCCTCTGCCGGATGTATCAGTTCGTCCATTCGCTGAGCTACACGGCATCGATTTTCATCCTGGTTGTCATCTGCATGGAGCGCTACTTTGCCATTGTACATCCAATTACCTGTAAACAAATATTAACGGCCGCCCGTTTGCGGGTAAGTTGCACAACAAAACTGAACTCTTCAAGCTAAGTGCGCCATTTGCAATTGGAATTCCGACAACTATGTGCTATAATAAATGTATAATTACTTGAAATGAATAGCACTTGAATGTGTTCCGTCTACGACTGTTTCATTAGGATTGAGCTTCTCATAAATTGAATTTTATTAGCGACTGGCCGGACGGCATTGAAATATTTTATATGTATATATGTGCTTATGTATTTGCCAAGAGATGTACGTGCCAAGTAGGCGCACGCCCGGCGTCCGGAAGGCCAAAATAGATTATCCACACCCCTCACAATTGTAATGACGATGATGATCTAATGAGTGTGGGAGGAACGCAAGTATTTGGCGTTGAAGTGTATGGATATATAAATGACTTTAGTTCTATCATGACATGACAGCATTCTGATATCGCGAGTGAAACGCGATGACACTGAATGAAATGAGTGTCATGAAACATTGGCCCGATTGAAGACAGCAACAGCAATAATAACAAAAATGTGCTAAAAATAAGTAATAGTCCAAGAAATGAACTCTTAGAGGGAATGAATGAAATTTGGGTCAAATAAAAATAGGTTACTTGTACATTCGCGCACATTAATTGTGTGTCTGCCCCAAAAGACATGCCACGATTAAAGTAATAGAGACATGTCTGTGTGCGAACCTTGCTTTCGTTGGTATTCTGAAATTCAGTTGGACTCTTCCATTTAACTATATAATATTGATTTCAATATATACGAGTGGGACTGAAAACATTTGTATTAAAATAATAAAAACTGCTTGTGAAATATTGTCGCAAGGATTGTTGCTACCAAATAAAAGGCCAGAGCATTGAAAATGGAACTTTTACTACTATAAATTTTTAATTAGGATACTTAACAAACAATTTAGCGTTCTTTTTATAATTCTTCTTAGCATTCTTAAGTAGTTATCTTCATATATTTGTACTTTTTCAAATACTTAGCATTAGCTTTTGCCAATTTATGCATGAAATGAAAACTTATATTTAATTAGTCATTTGAATTGCAAAATACAAATGTGAAGTTTGTATTTAAAAAAGTATGTTATTTAAAAGTTCCCTTTACAATGTTTCTAAAAAGATTATTGGTTATTTTATATAAGCAATGAATAATAGGTGAAGACGTAGAGGCACTTGTATACTACATAGAATGAAGCTATTTATTTAACCCCTATTTGAACTTATTCTGGTATTAATTTCTAATAAAATGCAGCCGAATCTTTAAAAAGGCTGGACCTTTATTGTAACAATAATTCCAACGAAAAAAATATATAGATCAATGGCGATTATATAACTTTGACTGGAAAAGTGTCCAGAATATTTAAAAAAAAAACTGGCTTTAATCTTAGAATAGATTGGAGATACACGTACAAGCAACAGAATTTTCAAATCTTTTTTGATGCCACCCTCAACTTAGACGCCTGAAAAGTATACAAAGAACTTACTATAAATCCAACATCGGCGCTGACAGAACTGGATGATGCCCAGATGATTGAATATTTGATATATTTGAAAGGAAACTCTCGTGCACAATAATCCGATACTTAGCGTTACATATATATGTGTATATATACAAATGCCACCTAAAGTTTCGCTACACCTTTTCAGGCGCAATTGAATTTTAAAGCTACGTTTAACTTGATTTATTGTTATGGGATCGAAAATACTTTTACCTTTTGGTCCCACCACGTAAATAAACCATGCCGTTTTGAACCATTTTTTCTCCGTGTGCTTCGTGGTAATGCTCAGTTTTAAATTGTTGGGCTTCGGTCGAATTTCTAAAAACAAAACATTAAGCAACATCGCCTACATTTTAATGACTTTTCTAACTAATTTTGGCTTGCAAATTGTTGCCCACCGTAACCTATTTAAATGACCCGCAGCGAGAAAAGCGTAAAAGGCTTAATAATCCAAAACGAAATTCCATTTCCAGCGGCAAACTTTGTTCACTTCTTTGGCCAAAACTTTTGCACAACCCACAGACATCGCCAGTGGCTAAAAATAATGAGTAAGCCAAAGATGTGGGGGGGTATGAGCAATAAATATTGAGTCATTTGTCCTGAGTAATTGGCCATAATGCAAAACCGCCCATATGCATGCTACATTTATGGCCATTGTAAAGCAAATAGACTAATTCACATGTGCACTATTAACTCGAGCTGTTGATTTTAATGAATCTAATTAAAATACACAACGACAAAAGGAGACCAAATACGAGTATGTTTTGACGGCATTTGTTGCCTTCTGTCTGAATTCCACATGCAAATCGGCAATAATGGGTGGATGGATGTGGACGTGTGTGTTAAACAACAATTTAGCAAATTGTTTGCGTGTTTTACATTTCATTTTGTATTCATGGCACCTCCTCTCTGCTCCGCACAGATGGTCATTGTAACCGTTTGGATAACTTCGGCCGTCTACTCAACGCCAAAGTTCGTCTTCAGCAAAACTATTAAGAACATACACACCGAGGATGGTCAGGAGGAGGAGATTTGTGTCCTAGATCGCAAAATGTTCAACTCCAAGCTGTTGGACATGATTAACTTTGTCCTGCTGTATGTTATACCTCTGCTGGTCATGACAGTGAGTATGCTTCAGCTCTAAACTAAGAGTTATTATAGTAATAGTCGGCAATTGTCTTTGGAAAGACTACATTTTAGATGATGAAAAAAATTATAAAAATTATGAAAATGTAAAAGCAAAGAAACCATTATTGTTGATTTAATTTTTGGGACTTGCTGTTTATTTTTCTATATTTACTATATTGCAGAGATTTAATGAAATAGGTTTCTGATTAAAAATTATTTTTGTATGATATCAAGGCATAAATTATAGAATGTAATCATTATAAGCAATTTTGAAATGCATTCCTAAAAATTTCTATACTTATTTACAAACTATTTTATGTATCACAACTATTATAGCATGAGGTGGTGACCATTTTCTAGAGTTTGAAAAAAGTCGAACTCTGTTTTATTTCTTGAGAAAATTCCTAGGTAATTCCCATTGATAGTAGAATATTCGTCTTAAAATTGAATATTGCTGATGACTGCGACTAAGTACAAAAAAGGAAGCAGTGTTCCGATTTTCACATAAAATATTTAGCATTTTTAAATGTTTCAGGGAACTTTTATTTCCTTCCTGTTATGTCCTTACAATCTTTTATAAACTGCCTATGGCAATTATTGGTTTAACCTCAGCTCTCTTCTATTCTCGTCATTATATCCAAATCAAAGCAACTATAGTTAAAGGATTCGTGGCCTTAGGCAACAATTAATTAAGGCAGTAGCTGTTATTGATTAGACTTATCAAATCATTTTCCATTTAGACACAAAACAACTGGCTGAGGCAGCAAAATTTGAGTTTAGAGCTTTTCACAGCTAGTACGTTTCCCTCAACTCAAAAAAAAAAAGGCCAGGTTAATTAGCTTTTACAATTGTTTTGTGCAGGTGCTGCAAAAATATGTAAAAATATACAATTAAGATGGAAAGTGTCCAACTTATAAAATAGACAAGTGAATACCTTCCATTTCGGTATACTACAAGATGCTTTTGGTGTACCGAGATATTGTAATTTACATTTTTACACAACTAGATAAGATAATGGAGTAGTCAGTTAGTAGTGTCGCACCCATTTAGTCACATCTCCTGCAGCAATAATTTCATCAGCGCATTTGCATTTTCTGCCAACCAGGTGCTCTACAGCAAAATTGCCATTGCCTTGTGGCGTAGTTCGCGTGGCCTGACGTCCCACATGGCTCAGCAGCACCATCCGCACCATCCGCAGCAGCAGCAACAGACGCAGGATAATGGTATGGGCATGCACAATAGCATGTACCATCATCACCACCACCATCCGCATCCGCATCATCATCATCAACAGCACGTGCATCTGAACCATCAGCAGCAGCAGCTGGCTGGCAATGGCGGCGGTGGCGCCACCGCCACAACAACAACAATGTTGCAGTCGCAGGCCACGGGTGGCTCCCTTTCCAGTAGCTTGACGGGTGGTGGCAGCAGTGGCGGTGGCGGTGGCATTGGCGGCGGTTTGTTGTCCTTGTCACGCCGCCAAAGCAGTAAATATGAAAAGCGGGGCGTCAGCATCACAGAGAGTCAGGTAAGTGGTTGCAATAAACACATTAAGCAATGTCACGAAAAAAATTCCACAAAATTGTTGAGCTAGTGTGCCAGAATCTATGCTGTATAGCACTAAAAACTATTTTGGTGGCAAAGTGATGTCAACAAAATAATGTCCATCAATAAATCAGATAAAATGTTCTTCACAAAAGGTTTTGTATGCAGCTCGAATGAAAATATACAACGTTTTTAGAAAGTTTTTCTACCGTAAATGCTAAAGAACGTCAGAGTTTGTTAAGAATATTACAATACACATATTCATATTTTTCGATTAAAATTGACAAAAAAGTGTGCCTTACGAAATTGTATTTTTTATTTGTAAGCATTTATTTGAAATGTTGTTGATGTAAATTTACCTTTTAAGGTTTTTCCAATAAAAATCCAGGATAGTTTTTTTAGGCAGCCATTTCTGATTTAAATAAGTAATCGTATAAATTACACAGATAAGTTCGTCAGATTGAAGAAAACTGAGAGTTAAGGGACTATGTATTTATTTTATTATTATTTTAGGTAGAATTCTGATTTAATTAAGAAGTCATATAAATGACACACATATGTATGTTCGTCAGACTTCAGCGAACTGAGCGTTAAGGGACTATGTATTAATTTTATTATTTTTTTACTTTTTTGAACATAGTATCTTAGCTGCTCAATTATTATTGTATTTGTAATGTACAAAAAATCAAGTGGTTTAAAAAGCATTATTATATTTCAAACTACTTTTTATTTATGTAGAAAGGTTATATGATACATGGGTTGGCGTTAGACGCCGTTTGTGATGACATATAATTCCCTTGGTTTTATGGACGGACCTGTTTTTAACCATCCAGTATTCTTCATGAACTTTTATGTTTTCACAATCTCGATTTTTGTGAGCTCTGTGAGATTTATTAAAAAAGTAGCTGGGCAATGATAGAAAATGTGTTCATCGCATTTCTCCACCTGTCATCTTTACATTTAATGCAAAAATCAAGGAGTTTGATTAAAATCTACTGCTTTCAATTTCAAAAATAAAAATTTCAAATTAAAGTTTATGCTTACATACATTTTATCTAACATTTAACGTTTTCTTACTAAATACAAATGACTTCAATTTATTAGTTTTAAACAAAAGAGGAGCAAGATTTCCATTTAATTACAACAAAGCATAATAAATTCCCTATGTTTTGTGATAGAGTGAGAAAAATGAGCGGCTAGAAAAACATTTTACCATATAGAATAGAGAAACTAAAAGTTTGTAAATAAAATATTTTTCAAAAATGTGTTTTTATTTATTTTTTATTTTTTGTTTTGGATATAAAATAGCTATCGTATAATAGGAAAATATACAGTAGCTGCAGGACAGCTAAGTTCGTCTGTTCAGCTGGCAACAACAACTTGACGCTTTGATGCCATCTTTTGAAAAACTTTAACACATTGCGCCATTCGGACATCCTTCAACAGCTCAGCTCTCTAGCTTGCTTAATATTTAATATTTGCGCAACACCATGGAAAATGGCAGGCGGAGTGAACGAAATTCCGCAGTGGCCCGGCCGAAGTTTCTTGAAATTAAATTCGCCCAACTTTGGTCAAGTGGGAGCCAATCTCCAGGTGTCAATGCGCATTAAAAGTATCGCCATTTCGGCCATAGACGAGATGAAAAGCCAAGTATTGCGCTGCGCAAACGAAAGTTAAATAAACCAACTGACAGCGAGAGATATTGAGGCGCTGGCTGCTGCAGAAGTTCAAATACTGGAAATAGAAATAGCGCAGATTCCTGGCCGGCCATCCCTTAGCTGACTTGCCACTTACGAGTATTTCGCAACAATTGAGCGTTGCGTTGACAGCAAATAGTTGTTGTTGCCACTGGCATGGAGTTCAAGTGCAAGTTTCAATTTAAAATTGATCCTTAGTAGGTAGGTAGTTGGCCCAACAAGCTAATGACACAACCGATGCGTTTTAATAATAAATGGGTTCGCGAAAACCCGCTAAGAAAGCTAGTCAAAGCTTTTATATCTATCTTGAAAACAATATCAACTTTATATTCATATTTGATTCGAACTAAAGTCTTGGCATCTAAGGCGGGAGCAGATTTGATTTTGATTGATAAAAAGCGAATATTTGTTTTCGAACAACAATCATAGTATTTAGGTAGTTCAACAATTCTGCGGATTTTGATTCATCGCTTGCTCTATAAGAACCTGATTTCTTGCTTGCATTCAATAAACTCATTACACTGCAAGTCCTCATACGAATTCTCAACTATGTCTCTGCTCACAACTAACTGTTTAACTATATTTTTGTTAAACTTCTCTTTCTCGTTTCGTTTTGTGAATATTTGATTTGCTCCTTTTCTAAACCAAACAAAACCCGCAACTCCAATAACCACAACAACAACCCCAACAACAACAAACAAACAACAACAACTTAAAACCCTAGCTTGATAATTGCAAGGTAGGTGTATACCTTACTGACAATCTCCAAATCTCCATTTTAATAAATTTCCCACATGCAGAGGCCATTCAATTTAAATCGTCTATCATTGTCTTTGCATCCATTACTCAACCAGGTCTCACTGGAGTCGGACCGGCCCATTGTGTCCGCCTGTCGCAAAACCAGTTTCTATCAGCATTCGCACACGCACCACCAGCGTCCTGGCAACAATGGGGGCGGGGGCGGGGGCGTGAGCGGAGCCGCCCACATGTCGCACTCGTCGAGCAAAGTGTTGCGCGCCCGGCGCGGAGTCGTTCGCATGCTGATAATTTTTGTGCTGACATTTGCGCTCTGCAATCTACCGTATCATGCACGGAAAATGTGGCAGTACTGGTGAGTATTCTTCTCCGTCTTTGTCATCGCAACCGCTATCTCCATCAGCTCCATCAGCAGTCGCAGCTGAGAAAAAAGCGAGAGAAAATAAATTTCCACTTTTTACAAACAATCTGTCAGACATATTTGCGTCAGGGATGAGAAGTATCTGAAAAATGTTATTCAATGCAAATGATTTTCTACAACAAACCCAATTATTAATATTCTTCGAGGGGTTATATAATGTGTCTCGCTTTTGAGCTAAATGTCATAAAAGAACCTCTCCCGTTTGACTAGAGATATTTTATTTCCAGAAGTTCCTGTTTTTATTACATTATTTTAATATTGAATCAACAAATGAGCCCACATTTGCAAATCAGATTGCAATAAATATAAAGAATAATAATACGTTATTATTTCATTATTTAAAAGATAAAAGAACACATAAAAAAAATTACATTAATGTCTACAGCTCCGATATGTTGGGGGCGTTTTTTAAATAAAAAATATCTATATATATTTTTCTCGATTTTAAAACAGTTAATATAATTTAAAAGTTAATGTTGAAATATTATTCGTTTTTAAAGGTATCTAGTTTTTTAAGAAATACATTTAATTTAGCCAGCTATGCTCCGATTCACAGCCCGATAGGATCAGACACGTTATACTTGTAGACTTAACAAACTAAAACGAATATAATAACTAAAAGAGAATAATTAATTCTCATAAACGTTAAAAGTGGAATAATTGATTCTCACGGCATAACAGAAGTATCTTTGAAGAAATGTCAAGGTTATCATACAATTTTAATAATTGTACTACCAGATTAAAAAAAGATTAAAATCTTTAAAAAAAAATGAACTAATAGAATTACCGAAGGAGCAAATAGAAAGAAAGTCAGTCCGGCAAGCTATGACCCAACTCTCAGCCGTAAGTGGGCTCAGATTTCCCATAATATAGAGAACAACGAGAGAGAGAGAGAGAGAGAGTTCTGTTGAAAATAACTAAAGAAGATCATTATAATTAGAACAAATAAGCCGAAAACGATTGTACACAGCGTAATCAGTTATGCATCTAGACAAGACGAATGCCAATTAATTTCGAGATTTCCTCAGGTATAACTATAGAGAATCAGGGTTATAAAACAGAGAGAAAAGTGAGAGATTTCTGTCTAAAGTTAGTGAAAAATTGCATTATAATGAGAGCAAATAACCTAAAAACAATAAATACAAATTGCTATTGATGGAAGGCTTATCAACAACATTCTGCTTGAATTTTTAGTAATTAGAATTAATGAATAGGAATTGATTCTGAACAGACCCAATACGTGTCTGATGCTTTCTACTTATACTGCGGACTTTGCTTTACTTTTAAAATCTGAATATACTTTTAGTGCCTTTACATCCACAAATTTTCGATGTCTATCTAAAACAGAGAATTATGCGGGCCCTTCGATTTGGAAAGCAATTGCTGCATTTATTTGTTCACCAGTCTCTCTCTATAGTACAAGTACTCGTATGTCGGCTTTAATCTCATGTGTGTGTGTGTGACGAGCAACTGGCCTGAGTAAACAATTAAGTTGTCAAGGAACATGGTCTGTGAACGAAAGTAAACGGCTCCTGTTATGTCTGTCCCATCCCTTCTGTTTTAATATCCGTTTGCAAATATCAGCACAGCTGCCAGAAATCGCCACGAGCCATGCGCCATGCGCCATGCGCCATTAAGTCTGTCCGAGTTCAAGGCAGCGTTTAGTTGGCCAATCCTTCTGGCTTTCCTGGCCAGTTTCAACTGGTCACCGGATATGGTCGTTTTGGCGCTTTCGAAACCGGAAACAAACGAGTAGTTTGGCTTAGATTAGCTGTAGAATAGATTAAAGGGTGCATGTGGATGGCCTGGAGACTTAAAATGCCAGCAGTTTGCATTTGTAAACATGTTTTGATGTCCAGATTTTAAAGCAGCACCATGCTGTGCGATGATGTTGTTGCTGATGTAACTATTGCCTTACGACTTGTGTAACTAGTATCCTGATTGAAGTGTCCGTTACCTTTCCTTCAATTCTTGGCAGGACACACAGAGGAAGAGGCGGCAGCTTTTGTCTGTGGTGGTTGATTAGGAAAGTGTCTAAAATTAGTGCAGAGGAGAGAACTTAGCCTGATACTTAACATTTATGAGCTAAAGAGATCTCTACTGATTTTAGAATAATAACCAAAATCTATAGTTTTCTGAGTCTAACAATATTAGTTCAAAACAATCAAAATGCTTGGTTTTATATAATAAGTGGCTCTGCAGTTTCTCTTTACACAGATTCCGATTAGGCACACAGATAAAGTTGAAAATTTATTTCAAAAGTTCCGCCACCTTTTTAAAGTTTTCTCAATTATTTTTGTATTTTAAAAACAATATGCAATTACGTAGTTTAAATAACAGACACAAAGTAAAATTTATACCTCGCAACTATTCATTTAAAATTACATGACATGGCCATCCATTCAATCGCAACCGCCATCCTGCTCCTACTTCTAACCTGTGAATCCCTTATACTTGTATTTTATTTATTGAAATCAGAACCAGTGTCGCATGCTTGTCATAGTATATTGATGGAGAATAAACGGACATTTGAAAAGTCTGCATTGGCACTTGCCAGCCAGTGGCTCATTCAATATTTACAGCAATACAGATATTTGCTTTTTGCCGTCTAGTGCAGGATTGCCATAAAAATAAATAAAGAATAATAATATTTTCAGTGGATGCGTGAAAAATTGCTGAAATGCATTTCAGTTCGGTGCTTCAGTCCACGAAAAACTTGTGTATAGTACATGAATACAGAAATATGTGTATGGCTGGCACATTTTTAAGCTAACAAATTGAAATTTGTTTTGTTTTTAGATGTGTCCATGTCTGTCTGCCCGTCTGGTTCAGACTGTGTGGGGGCTAATAAATAAGAATTTATTTTTGACATTCAAATGTTTGTCTGCTTAATAATCGTGATGTATATTTGGAGCTGCAAAAAACAATCTGTAGACGGAAAGTGCGAGTATTGCGAGCATATGTATATAGCAATTGATTCTTTTAGTACAGTCTTCTTTTTGTATAAACATGTCAATTTTGAAAGATTTATGATCCTTCCCACTTTGACAATTTGATTTAAATGTCAATTACAGAGCAGACAATAATTTATTTACAAGTATTAGTCTTTTTGTTGTGTGTTAGAATGGTTTGGATGTGATAGCCTGACATGTTAATAAATGTAAACACAACATGAGCAAGGTAAATAATTATGAAACAGTTGCACTGGAAGAAATCACAATAAATGTCACAATAGATAATCTATATAAAATAGCTGATAATAATACTTCAAAAATAATATGGTAAAAAATTATGATAGAAAGAAATGCTAGAAAGGAATGCTAATTCAATTAAAAGATTATTGATTATACTGCAGCTAAATAATATTTTATATTTTAAATATATAAATCACTTAAGAAATGGAATCTTCTAATAGACTTACATCCCAGAAAGACTTGCTTTTTAATCAATTTCGCCCACAAGCTGCAAGTCAATTGTCGCTCAATACAAGTATATGACTAGCTTTTAGCGAAGTGTATTTATAGAAGAGACACCTGTCAGAAGTTTGTTTGGCCATTGTCCCAACCATTATAATTCATATACCACTCAAATAAACTGACATATACGGGTAATGGAAATGGCAAACGAATGGAGAAGCAAAAGTAAATAGCAATGAAAAATCCCAATCACTGAAGTGAAATGTTTTCAAATGCGGCAAACACAAACAGCTCCCAACTATTAGCTAAAGGCAGTCTGAGGACAGAGGACGAATCTGTGCATCCTAGCGTTAAACGAACTTCACGAAAAAATCATTTTTTATAAAGTTGTCCATGTGATTGTCTTTTTGCCAATTTTTTCATTTCATCCTTTTACTGAAATAAAACTTTCAGCAATTGCTTCTAACCTTTGTCCTTTGAGTCCTTTTGCAATGCAATTGACAGACACTTTTAAGTGCTAATATTAAAGTGATTCTGTGTACAAAATATTGCTTTAGCCAACTTGTTTCGTTTCTGAATTTGTATTCAGATATTTATTTAACTGTGTACGTTGCGGAAATATATAGTCCTGCACATCATTATCTCTCAGGCCATTTGAGGCAAATGCCAACCTCCTGTGGCTTATTTTCTAACCAACTTCCGGTACAATTTCACGAAATGCCCCTTCGTTAGGCTGCCCACAGGTCACTTAATTGTCTTCTTGGGCTGTTAAGTGGAGAGGCCCAAGGGCGTGACATGTGTGCCCTGCAGGAAGTCCTCGCGTCTCTCTCTCTCTCTCTAAATGGTCTTTGGGCTGGGTCCTTATGATGGGTGGTAAGTCACAAAACAAAATGAACAGAACTGCCAAGTTGCTTCTGAATTGTTATGATTTGTTGAGGGGAAGGTTCAAATAATAATAAAAATTTCTGGGTGGGTGGACATAATGCGTATATTTTTATACCAACACAAAATTATTTGTATGTATTACTTGTTATGTGTTAAAGACAGTGAAAAGCCCATTTTTGTAGGCTAGAGTTCCGTTACGATTACATAGAAAGATTATAGATGTCATTAGGTTGGGTTAAATGAATGAGGATCGTAGGTCCCAACATCTAAATCTTTTCTATTTCAATAATCTATTAAATGTTCTTCTTTATCTAACTTCCTCCAATTCCATTAAAGTACGAGCATAGTATTGATTGCAATTGAAAATCGACCCGTTTTGTACGTTTTTTCTGTTTTGACTTCAACTAGTTCGATGGCGCACTTAAACATTTAAAAATTAAAAATCACTCGAAAATGAAAACGAAAGCTGCACAATTGAAAGCGCCATCGACATCGCTTGAGTGCGCCAATCAGTCGCCGTTCCCCGCAATTTCTGAGTCCTTGCTTCTATATGTAATTTGCAACACAAATTGTCAACTGAAAAACATTTTGACAGGCAGTCACAAAGTTTTCGGACTTGGGCGCCAAGTCAACTGGCCAGAAAGTTGCACTCTTGCATCAATTTGTGTAAAAGCCGTTCAGCTGCTTGTGCCAGGCAAGTGGTTCTTTCTGGTCAGGTTTTGTTACTACTTGTAGCAGGCGAACGTGTCCTTACTTTGTGACATCAAAGATGAGAGCGTGAAAAAACTATAAAACAAAAATGTACTATAAAAATATAATACTAAAAACTTGTAGTAGAATATTCGTATTTCCTTTCATTTTAAACGACTGCAAAAAAGAACGAGGTTCTCAATTCGTCTGTGTATTTTTTTTTTCCGTGCAAGCAAAATGAAAGAAGGCAAAAGGAAGAATACTTCTTGGTGAAAGTTCTTGGAAGAAGAGCTATAGCTGCCGATAGATCTAGCTGGGTTTCATAGCCAAGAAGCAGCCTGAAACGTACCTTTTCTGCATTCGACAACTAGATAGTAATTAAGCTCATAAAGCCGCTGCTTCTTAGTATTCCACATTATCGATATTTTACAATTTAAATACGATTATGTGAGTGAAAGCTGGGTTAGAACTGTTGATGATATTTGTAAATCGATATCAAGAATATTTTAAGATCGTTAAAAATGCGACAATTTTCATTTGATATTTCATATGTGAATAACAATCCTAGTTCTAAACACACTTACAATTCCACTATACGAAGATAAAGTTAAAGCTAAATGAAAAGCTTTTTGAATAAATTGACTTGAAAACATACATATGTAGCAGGCCAGGGGTCTCTCTATTATCAAAGCTCAGTTGACTCTCTCATGGCGCAGGCTCTCACTATTGTAACAGTAAATCCTCTCGCGTATGTAATGTAAGCCTGCTGGCTGTAAGAGAGCTACGATCAAGCGTATAAGACGTTTAAAACAACATTTCAACCCCCATTCTTGGGACTCTCTTTTCCTTCCACACATCAGAGCTTAATAAAATGTTGTTCGACTCAATATTAAATATCATAATGAAGATCTTTGTTTTATAAAGAGCCACAAATACTAAGTAAGAAACAATGTTCACTTTAGTATAACTACTTATGTATTTAAAATTTTTATTACAATGTTTGTTATACAAGTAAATTCGGATATGGATTTGAAAAAATTTGACTCTTTGATATTAGTTCGTTTAGCGAGGGACTGCAGTTTTACAATCGACAATCCACGATGGTCCATACTGTAAATTCTTGAACATGTTCACATTTCACAAGAAGTAATCTAGCTCTATCGTTATTTCCAGTATGCAATTGATCATCATTAAGCTGATCTTTAATCAACTTAAACTTAACTCAATCTTGCAAATTATTGCGTTCACAATACACGCTCCTCTCTAGTGCTGGCCAGACACTTTTGTCGACAATCGGGTTGCAGTGAAAGTTTGCTTGCCAGATACTTTCGTTTATTTTGGTCCATTACACAAGTTCCGTTCCGACTTGCACGTTTCGACAAAAGAACTTAATCACCTGTGCAGTTGCAGAAGCGATAGGAGCAGGAGTCGGGGTGGGGGAAGATAAAAAGTGCAGTCCATTTTCAAGAGTAGGGCAAGTCCAAGTTGGGCAAAAGTTTGGAAAAGTTGACAACTGGGCAGCAAAGTCGGTGGAAAGCAATGGCGACTTAATCAACTTAAAAAGTCGCGCGCTGCTTTTAAATTAATGTGTTTGTTTAAAGAACCCCCAACCCCACTGTTGGTGGCATCACCTCCACTATTTACATAAATATACAACACTTGTCGCATTTACAGGTCACGTTCATATCGCGGTGATTCCAATTTTAATGCGCTGCTAACGCCACTCACATTTCTGGTCACGTACTTTAATTCGGGCGTAAATCCCCTGCTCTACGCCTTTCTCAGTCGCAATTTTCGCAAAGGCATGAAGGAGCTGCTGCTCTGCTCCTGGAAGAAGGGCAAGGGCAAGTCCTCCTCGAACTCATCGATGCACCACAAGCGCAAGGCCCTGCAGGTGAGTTGCACTTCTCGATCTCAACGTAGACACAATGGCAAACATTTAAATGGGTATTCAGCAAAATATAACTTTTAATATAACTTTTATTAGTTCAAATAATAGTACATACATATACTTATTAAGTGGGTTCATAAAAACTATTTTCAAGTCCGACTTTTTACTCTTTCGTTATATAAATGGGACATCTATCAATCATACTTATACTTTTATTATTTTTCAAAATAGCTGCGGGAAAAAATGACTATTTCGATTCAAAATCGTACATCGCTTTTTATTACCATCTCCTTCATTTTTCTTGTAGACAAAGCCCTTACTTCGTCCTGGTCAGCTGCCATATCTGTAATCTTTTGAACAGGAAAGAATCTGAAACCGCAACTGAATGATTGTTCCAAATGGCTTGGGAAAGTTTTCCGTTGAGTGGAAATGACGCACAACTGAAATAAATAATATGATACGTTTAGGGTTCACTTTTCGACTCTACTGACTATTTTAGTTTAAAGAGATTCACTTAATTAAAAAATAAACGATTTACAGATGAACTATCATACATTCTTTTGAGCCTATTTATTAAAAGAATAAACAATGCCGTATTGGGTTTGGGATTTTATTCATTTCTTTTGCTTATGTCTGATTTGAAACTAATTGAGAATAAATCATAATATTAAAACCGTTAACCCTTCAGCTATTTGTTTCGAAATTATTATTTTGCATTTTAATTTAAAACGTGCTTTAATACTACAACAATTTATATATTCAAATAAACATGAAACGTAATTAGAGTTGTATCAATCGACATTTTTTATTGAAAGAGAAAATTATTTTTTACCTATTTAAATGGTTGCCAGTGTCAGCGGATAAGCTGTAAGTCTCAAAACATTTGTTTGTTTATCAATTACATATTAAATGTAGACCCACTCGCTGCCCACGGACACCACACACATTGGCAATGAGCAGCTATGATGGTCTCGCTCCTGGAACTTGAAAGCCAAGTTTTTCCGCCGCCAGCGTTCCCAACAGGCAGAACAAAATGAAGAAGGCTAAGTCAACTATACTATAAACCCAAGCATTGCATTACCTTTACATTAGCTCTTAAGTGTTTGATTGTAATTTCATTGTGATTTTTTAAGAGCCTATTGCTTAAACGATTAGCAAATAAATCTCTGCATAATTCTTAGCAAATAAGTATTCAGTATCTGTAAGTGTACGTGTATATGTCAGTTGTATTACGAATCAAGTCATTTTTAGCGTCTACTTCCTTAAATTCATTTCAAAATAGACTTAATTAAATACTACATTTATATACGATTCTATTGGCGCGGGCATATGTGCTCAGCTCTCATGTAAGCTTAATTTGAAAAGTGATTTAATCTAAATAAATTAAAATATGTGTCTCGAACCAAAAGTTTTGATTGGAAAACCAGTGGATGGAAGCCTCTGGATGAAATGAAGCAGCAACTCAAGGAAATATAATTGGAATAAGTATAGCGGACGTGTCCTGAGGATAAGGAAATAAAGAAAATGGTATATTTGACTGATGTTTTAAAAAATCCATGCCGAAAGGCACAGTGAGTTTAATAAATTTAATTTATTTATTTATTTTTTTATTTATTTTATTTTATTATTTTATTATAGCGTTACAAGTACAAGATTACTTATAAGTTATTATGTTAGCCATTACATATTTATTTTTAATTTAATTCAACTTAATTTAATTAAGTTACACATTTCCATTATTAAGTTTATTTATTTTTATTTCTTTCTTTCTTTCTTTCTTATTTAATTTAGGTATTTAGATAAGTTTGAAGTGTATTTCGCTGGTAATTCTCCAAAGGTGCTGCGGTCGATCGTAAAATAATTTGCGTACATTTTAGGTAAGTCTATATTAAGAAAAAGAATGAAAAAGCTCTTTTCGGCAGATATTGACAATACTATAAGTGTTCCATGATTTGTGGTTTAAGCTCGAAGCCAGTACGTACAAGGATTCAAACTCTACAGCTATAAAATCTATTTTTCTAACATTTAGTTTAAATAATTCATTGTTTAATTAATTCATAATTGTTTAATTAAGAGATGTTATTAGATAAAGGTGCGTCGTTTATTGTATTGAGCGGAGCAGGATTGGTGGGAGGATAATAATACGCGACAAAGTTTTGTGGATGAATGAACAACGTCGATAGCTCGACTGCTTTATTTATATATAAATTCTTATCCTAGTTCTTATGCTATCGCCTACATACTATCATCGATTCCTTATCTTCTACCATGTGTGCGTACTTTATCAGGTAGCTCATGTTAGCCAGCCGCAGCCTGCTCATCCAGCGCGGTGGCGAGCCTGAGCTAATGATTTGTGTACTTACACATCCTTATCTATTAAGCTGGCGCCTGCCAGCTACGAAAATGTTGGTGTTATGTTCGGCATCTAAGGCCGAACTCATTATTATCTGTATAAGAGAGCATGTCTGTTTATCGAGGTTTTATCTATAACAATATGATAATGTACCATTCGTGGTCTAGACAGAGCAAATCTAGCTTATCAATTAATTTACATTTACTTAGGATCTCGTTAGAATTGAACATTTATTATGCGAATAGTTTTGTTCTAGTAACGCTGTAGAGTATGTACATTTTTTTCAATTCGTGCTGCAATGTAACGATTACAAAATATATCATAGCTGAAGTCAACAAATATTTTGCGCCCACAAATAGTTTTCTCTGCAACTCATGTGTATATGTTATTTCGCCCTAATGAGCAACTAAACTAAACACCTGGTGATGTGTTTTTCTTTTTTTTAAACACTCGTATATGGTTTCAACTTACTCAGCCTCTATTTCTTTTCTCTAAAATATTATACATTCTTAAAATCTTTTTGTGCCGTCAATTCAATTGCTCTGCTCCACCGTATATTTTTTAAAGCTCACGAACTATTTCTTTTATATCAAAAAGAGCAAATTTTCACCCACACACAACTTCCTGAACACCCACGCCTCAAATATGCTTTATCCTTTAACACTTTGGCATAATGTTGTTGTTGCTGCTGCTGCTGTTGGTGCTTTTATTGGAAAAATCAATCAAATCCGCTGGCTTAGTCATGCTGGGGCATTAGAAAGATACGCCGATTGGAGCCAGGCACAAGCAATAATAACAACAACAACAACAACGACTATAAAGTGGCATAACCTCGCGCGCTACAATTTCGCGCTCCAAAAGTAAACAAACCCGACTCCGATTGCTCCGCCGTCCTGCATTGCCTTTGCTCGGGCGTGCCTGGTTGGCTGTGTTGGCTGGGCTGGCTGTGGGAATGGATTGGTTTGGATTGGATTGCATTGAATTGGATTTTGGTTAGCTAGGAATCAAAAGAAGCAAGGCAATCGAACAGCCACAGAGACTACTAGATGGCTGATGTGCGTTATCAACAGCTTCGATTGAGTTTGCAATTTATATTTTATGCTGCGGTGTTTGCGCAACTAAACTATATACATGAGTATAGTACATATACAAATGTACATAAATACATATACAGGAAGACTTCGGAACACTATCGCCCACTTCAATAGGAATGGTTTGGTTTCTGAAGCAGCGCTGTTGAACTATTTCATAAATAAACGCCATACAAAAATAGAAATGCTCTCATATTTGTCAGGCGGCTAGAGGAGACAGATGTCACGAGATTAAAGTGCACTCTACTGTGATAAATAATAAGACAAGCAATATACGGTTCATTATTTAATAGGTTTTAAGCAATACAATATTAATGAATGTGATGTTTCATAAACAATAAGAGTTCAGCAAGCCTAACTATTTAACTATTTAACAGCCTTCAAATATTACAATAGATTTTATATGGCTGGTATAAAAATCTGCACAAATGTAAGTTGCAGTTGGCTACAGCGTTTCGAATTTTCTTTAATTTTAGGAAAAACAAAACTATTTCTTACATCTACCATGTATGTTTTGAATGCTCATTAATTATCAAAATTTCAGCTTCCTAGTCGGTCCGTAAGAATTAAGAAAATGCAGTTATGTTTTCGCGATAAGTTCCATAACAGTCTTAATTTGTTTTAGTTTCTTAATAGTTTTTTGTATTGCAGGGATTTGTTATTAGTACATAAAAGGTACGTCTTCGTTAATAATATGAGAGTTTATTTGCAAATACATTATTTGCTTTTAAATTTTATAATTAATTGTGGAAATGCTAAAAACTTAATACCAATTAATCTTAAGGGTACACCATTTAAATAAATTGCGTTATTGTTTTTAAAAATCAATTAAAATTGAAGAAGGTTTGAAAAGCATTGTCAAAACAAATTTTTTAATAGCTATTAATTCAAAATTAATCATGTATCTGAGATCCTGCTTGTAGTTGCCAGACAACGCGGCTTTGCTGCCATAACTCCTCATCTCTTTCTGAATTCTTAATAATCCTTAATAGATAGATAACTCCTTTGCAAGTTGTTTATATTCGACTGAACAACAGATTTCTGAATTCTTAATAATCCTTAATATGAACGAAATTATGTTACTTTTTTGCCTTGACAAATTGTTCATATTCAAGTGAACAACAGTGTTTAAAATATATATACGTATTTATGTATTTTTTGTGTAGATAGCGCTTTTTAGATATGCATGACAGAGAATTTATGGAAAAGCTGCGGTCGGCGAAAAATCACGCGCCATTGCGGACTGTTAGCGCATTAATTGCAAATGCTGTTAAGTCTAAGTTTTATTTTTACTCTCTTCAGAATTGTTCCTTTTTAGCGATTTGGCGCTGAGCTCAGCGATTTACATTTAAACGTGTCCGCTCCGCCTTAAATCACTTTTGGCTGCAGCTCAAAGGGCAGCAGGCCAGCGGGAAAAACAAAAGCAGATCCATCATTTGTCAAAACTATGCGCTGCAGTAAATCCACAAGAGATTGCACTTCACTTGCCGCAAGCACAAAGGGAGAAATTTAAAAATCAAAAAATCTTCTGACGTTTCTGGTTTACTTGGCAATTTATTTTGGTTCGCTCCGTCTCGCACTTGCACTTTTTCGGAGGACTTTGTTATGCAAAGCTCGTACTGCGGGACCGTAAATTGTGTCAAGTGCCTGCGAATTCTGTGAGGAAGTGCCTTAAAAGCTGCCAGGGCCATTTAAGCGTACGATTTCTCATAATTAAAAGCTGCTTAAGGACATGCAGATTGACATAAATCAAGGAACTCTTGGAAGGCCCCAGTTCCATTCGCATCATATGCCACTGATTTATGTGTCCTGCAGCGACCAAGTAGGCGTGTCCTTTCATATAAATACGATATTCGATATGTATATCGTGCGTAACAAATTAAAGCAGATGGCATCGAAATCTGGCGCACAATCAATGCGCATCAATCATACGCAGTGTGTGCCGCACAATTCATATTTATGTTGTTTGCCATAGA